TCATTGTTTATTAAACCAAGGAGTGGGGGACAAATACAATAATTAACACAATAGGGGACCAGAATTAAGAAAGATAAGAACAGACAGGAAGTGACATAGTTGAACTAATCTTGGTAAGAAAACAAAGTTAATCAAGGTAGGTGTAGTGTAAGTATAAATTGTTTTTGTACACATGAAGGTGGTTTCAACTTGGCTATGGCCTCCACAAATCTCAGAATACGTCCCTGACTGTTTCCACATATAACTTTGAAAACTGTTTTAACACTAACTATGTGGCCTGTTTCTGTGGTAAGATTAGCTATAGATGAGGAGGGTCGTCTACCACCAGCGTTTATGTCTATTCCACACTCCATTAACTTTTGAAGCCATTTAAGTACACGTCTTCCCAACTTTAACTGCATGACTCGGTCCCCCCCTACCTGTGTGTGACCACACACACATGTAAATTGGTAAATACGAGGAGATGTGACGTTATTGTTGATGCAGTGTTTAGGTTTTTAGTGAAGCATGTATTTTGTTTTTTCCACAATGATGAGATTCGCTGCATATGTTTTTTTAATGGCTGATGTCAGCCTGAATCTCAAAATGATACTGTTCAACTCCCCTCTGTGTGATAGTGTGATATGGACGCTTTTCTTAGGGACTGTATATAGAGTTGGCTTTGGTGCTACTTAACCTCTACAAGGCCTATAAACTTCATGGGATATCCACTTTTCATAGCGAAAGGGCTACGGTAAATTTCTTGGATTAATGTAGTCAGGCTGTCAAAATTCGAAGACATATTCAGATGCATTCTCAGTGACAAATCAAATAAACTACTGGTTTTCAATATCTGTTCAAACAAAACACAAATGTTGACTCGAATAAGACGTAAACTTCATAGTGTATAATGTAACTACATATACTCTTGTATATCTTTAATTCACGCTAGATGAAAATTGATTTGACTAAGTTTATTTTCGGCTCTGTTTTATAAAGAGTAGTTTCCAGTTTAAGAGTTTTGTAATCATCACATATTGTAGTAACGGAGATAGGAAATTAGGCTTGTTGACTTCATTTGTTACTAGACATTTTAAGTGAGGACAAGAATGACTCAGAAAGAATTTTATGTTTACTGACATTTTCACTAGACTATTTCACATAATTTGGTATCGAATCTAGCTTAATATGGTGTCCACTAACCAGCACGGCAAATTGTACAGAGTTACATTATGAGCTTACCAGAAACTGAATGACTATATCTGACCGCTTCCGCTGTCACAAAAGTTGCTGTATATCTTAGCATAATGAAGTATCAATCAGGAAGTATATCCTTACGTTTTGCCCTATTTCATAATTTTTGAAACTTTTTCACTGTACAGCATTGGTGACCTCTTGATAATATTCAAAGATAAGAATTATAAAATCAAATTCCGGCTAGATTTTCGGTGATCATAGGAAGTACATAAAGTGAGTCTTATGATAATGAAGATGAACAGAGTTGATTCAGCAAGTTCTTAAACAGTTAGGAAAACACATTTTTCACTATTTGATTCTAGGCAAAATACTGTTCTTAAAATGTATTTCGCCAGCAAAACATTCACTTAACGAAGAGAAGAGTAATGATTTGCTGTATCTATACGCTTGATGAATAAGAATGCACTTAATTAATTTCACTAAATATTACAGGTTTTTAAAAAATTGTTTTTTCACTTTTGAATGGACTAGTAGCTCCGTGTAATAGTAAATTCTCGCCTAAATATTTTTCAGCATAGTAGTGTAATCAAAATAATAAGGTTATTCACTTATGTGCACTATAAATTCAGAATATGTTATATGCAAAAGTGATTAAAAGTTTTAGAACAAGAGAAAATTCAAAAATAGGAATATCTAAGTCACTAAACTTTTACTGCACAACTATGTGTAGTTTTTTATCTACTGAAGCTGCCTTTTAAAAAGCATTCACCCGAAAGATGGTCAGTTCTCTGCATGAAGTGAGTTTTTTCAAAGGCAGATGGTTGAAAATTCATAAACTTCTTATGCTGTATAAGCATCAGTGAAGAAATACTTGAAAAAGTAAGGTCTTAACAATTCAGTTAACGTAACGATCCAATCTATACCTATCAAGAAATAGGTACAAAAGTATTGTAGGTTAGCTGAAGGGAAGTATATTCAAATTTTAAGGTAATATTTAATCTGTGTTTAATCGATTTGTAGATATGTCTGTACGTAGCCGTGAGTGATTTTCTTTTCAGTCGTTTCGATAAGACATCTATCTCAGTTTAGAGTATACAACCCATCAGATGATACATTTCGGTTTTATGGGATCAGCCTTATGTAAAATTCTGACTCTTGTGAATAGAGACTTAAATAATAAGAAAGAGCCTGAAAAGATGCACAGAAAGTTACCAATAACACTAAGTAATGCACATGTAATGCATATACTAAAAGTTACTTGAATAACTGCCTAGCGTTCTAACCAGATAGGTAAGATATATCATAATGATTTAGGGTTGTATAATATAATTGAGCGGGTCATCATAAATGCAGTTAGTGTGGGTATAAAAGTGCTGGAAGAAATAGGGTAGGGACATCGAAATAAGATGGCAGACGACAGTTGTAGCCCTAGCAACCACGTTGTTGTTCTTATTAATTCACATAGCTATACTTATAAGGACAAAATAAAGTTCAGTGGCATTCAATGTTTTATCTTTCTGACTAATTCATGAAGAATGTCTTATCTAACTTTCTTATACTTGGAAAACTTTAAATAAGGTCTACTGGAAGTCTTTTTATGGATCGAAAAATATGATGCTTATAGCTTCAAATCCAAAGAAGAAAAGCAACGTCGTTCTAGACTAAAGCTATTAGCTGAGCAAACTACATTACCTGTTATCCATCAACAAGCCTCAGCATTCTAAAAGCTGTAAAAAATAGTCTACTGAGATACTTTCGATGAAGTTAAACGCCTGCAGTGAAACTAAACTAAATGCAACTGTAACCAGAATGTCATATTCTGCTTTAACTCTATTAATACGATGATGCGAAAAGATCATAATGAATTCCAACCTAAAACCAATTATTAAACCCCCACAAGCCTCTAGAGTGAATAAATCCAGCGCTCACTGATGACCAGCTTTGAGAGGTGGAAGTTGTGACCAGTGGAGTCAACAATGTTAAACTTGAAGACAGTTACTGAGTGTCGAGATTGGATAGAGTTCAGCTTTATCATGAATTCCTATTCATTAGCTATGTGGTAACGTGCTGGTCGCGGAACCTTGAGGTTCTAGGTTTGGTCCCTGGTGAGGTCATGGGTGCGCACAGATGAGGAGTGTCATACTAGGATGAAGCATCTGTCCAGTGCTCACAGATTTCCAATGTCCCTCAAAATGATGTCAGTCCATGATGAACCCCAACCTGATCTCAAGTGTATGTTTACTTATACAAACTATGATCAAGATTTGATCCTATAGTATGGCAAATATTGGGTGCTGAGTAAAAGTTGACTTTAGATAAAGATTGTATTGTGTAAGTCACAGTTTGAATTCACATTTTCGCACTAGGAAATTTATCTGTAGTACATTTTAAGTACCTGAATGCATTCCATCTATCGAAAAAGAAATGGATGTGGATACTCGTCAATTAAAAAACTATTCATTTTTGTTATTAACTATGGAGTGTTGTATATTTTAAGTGACACTATTCAATTGTGCATTTTACCTGCATTATGTTTACTTTTTTTGTTGCAGTGAAAGTTTAAGAGCAGCTTTATATAAAACTCAAAACGCACAAAAGTGGTAACAAGTTTTTAACGAAGTCAAATACCCATTGCCTAACTAATGCATTATCACACTTCTAGGTGTTTAATAACAATACCCAGAGTTTCTTATGTTTGCTCACAATTATACAAGTATGAGGACTACAGTGCATTCTTAATGGGTCACGGAATAGCTTTTGAGCCCATTATTTTCTTTCTTCTTGATATACGCGATACTCGAATAACATATGACATACACCATTAAACCTATAGGTGACTGTCAGGTTTTCATTCTACCGGCAGGTTTTAGTATGGTGGTTGGTAAGGACTAACTTACTGATTCTCCAAGGAAATGTTCATCACGAACCCAAATCATTCGTAGAAAGAACGGAAACGTGGAAACACATCAGATAGACTTTTCTTCCTATAATCAGACTCTTCTACGACCCCATTAGGTGTCGAATTCAAGACGGTCGAGCCTCACAGTTAGCACGTGGTTCAAATTTTTTCCCCTCCGTCAGTTTTCAGATTAACACAACTGTCATCCATTGCTACCTTTGAGATTTTGTCATGACGTCCAACCTGATTTGTCATAGAAATCGCGACGTCTCGTTAGAACTTCGAGAAATCTCATCTTGAGGCATTTTACTAATCATCAATGCACAGGATTTAAGTTTACGGATATTTGATGATTGACAGGTTTCAGTTAGTCTTCTTTTCGAAACAATATGAGTCGCATTTTTTGAGGAGTGGTCCTTAGGTATTACAGGTTGCTTTTTAATGCTTCAACTAAAATCGGTATTCAGATTGACTTTACCGTAACAAATAATAATACTCTACTTCGTAGGGTGATAAAATATTTCATGGGATAATAATGACCATAGTCTATATTATAATTTTTAACCAATAGAATGCAGATTTATGTGTTCCACAGTCATTTGCTGATGATATTATTTGGTATTCTGAGAGAACTATTTGAAAAGCAGCACACTTCAATACAGTATTGAAGCTGTCTCATACTAATCTTTAGTCTAAAAAGTTAGAGTTTCAAAAGTTATGGCATGTTTGTTGTGTTTCGTTTATATAATAGTGAGGAAAAAAATGATTAGCCTAGATGAGTATACAATAATATTAACCATATGTGATGTGTGAATATAGTTATACTGAGTGAGTTTATATACTCCATATTACTGACTTTTTAGAGTCTCCATTACTGATATGATAACTACTTACTTCATTGCTAACATTTTGTTTCTTTATTCAGTCATGATTGAATTTCCAGAAGATACATGGTTTGTATCATTCGATGGTTCATTGGACAAAAAATATCAAGTTGTACAAATGCATTTTCATTGGGGCAAAACTGATGAACGTGGCGGTGAACACACAGTTGACGGGAAAACATTTCCATTAGAAGTAACGTTATATAAAAAAGTTTTCGTGATGATTTTGATTTCTTAAAATTTTGGTGATTAAATGAGATTGATGATTACTTAAGATTTATCCTGCTGGAAAAGTGGAGAGAGCGAACTTCACAAATCATGCTAATTTGATCACCAATTTCGGATGTCTCTAGATTTTACGGGTGTTTTATTCATATAATTTGCCAGCTGAGGATGGAAACCACTTCACCCTTCAAACATACACATCTTCATTAACTTCACCATACGTAATTGGTTCTCACAAATAGGAATTCCTTTTTCGATACACGTTTGGACTACTTTCCAAGTATGACTATGAAAAAAAGCATGAATGCGACTAATACTACTAACACCAACCAAACAAACAGTCTATTAGACTGGAAATTATTAAAAGCCAATCCCTTCCAGAAATATTTTAGGCAATATAATTTCTCAGGCATTTTATGAGCTACCTATTTATTACAGAAGTTTTGAATCTACAGTGTCTTACCATAACTTTCCTAACGTATACAAGCTGGTGAAAAGTAAGTTTTCTCGGTTAATTCGTGGGAACGAAAGAACTTCATAAAAAATTTCCTATTATCAATTTGAAGAGGGCAAGAACAGCAGTGAGGAAAAAAGAAACTGAATCCATTTTATTTCAGTGGTATCTTGTTGACTAGTTACAACCTGGAATGTAAAAGATATGTGCAATTTCACTCAAAATTTAAGATACCTCAATTCAATAAAGAAAACGGAATACATTTAGGTGGTTAAGACAGATAGAAAGAGTCTAAGATTGAAGGTTAATCATAACGATAAATTCAAAAAGAGTTTATAAATGATCTTAATTATATACGTTATGTAGTGGAAGTTAATCGAATAAAATTAAGACGAGTGAAGTAACTAAAATATTGCGCAGTTTAACACCATACGACTACGTAGGTAGGTCATGTAATAAATAAACAAAATAATATCAGTTAGGCTCGGTTAGTTTAAAACATTCGATAAGAAAATATGATGCAAGTTATCACCGAAATAAAATAGATCCGTTTTATCCTGCTGCGATTGTTGTTCATGCTGTTTTCGAATAAAAAGAAATGCGTTAATGATGGATCGTGGTTAGCAGTGGAATCCAGGATGCGCATTTCGTCTTATTTAGGATTCGTCAGCTGGGAGCAAGTACATCCAGCTGACGAGCCCCAAATGGGACGAAACGCGCATCCTGGATTCTATTGCTAGCCACGATCCTTCATTACCAAATTAGAACGCAGCAGTATCGAGGCCATTGCACAGGAGCCCATATGCCAATAGAGACCGATCAATTCTCCCCAATCAACGACGCTATGATATAAAAACAATTATACCAAAAAAGGGATACACTCAAAACTCAGGAATGCTAAAGTTAAATTGTTCGTAAGAGATACGTAAACAGACCTTGGAATCACAATGGAATTAGGCACCAGTCTTGACAGTAACCAATACCTATATTTTCTGCTGTTGATAACGAATACTACTAAATTTTTTAACCTGGGAATATAAATGACCATAAAACATTGTTATGGACAACTACGTAGTAATTTACGCAGATATGTCTTGACTACAACTAAGTTTGCCCCATTACTTGTGTATTATATTCAGTAAGAGGGCGCTGCCACCTGAGGTTAAAACGTCTAAATTATATCTTACATGTCAGTTATCAAATCATTACTTTAACCTGGAAAACACTTATTAATTCACTGCTACATTTTTCGAAAACTGAGTAATTGTATGTTTTCTGTCTGGTCTTAAAATCGTAAACAGTAGTTGGTAAAGAACCAAATGAGTACGTTTATCACATATCAAATAAAGTAACTGAAAATGTCTTTGCATTACTTGGATGATGTTGTCTGGCAAGGATATTCACATTTGTACACAGTAATATATTTCAGAAATCTTTTTATTCTGATGGTCTTCTTGATCAAATGGCTTCTTGTTATATGGAGACAATTCGCTGCATTGAAAACACTGCGTAAATTTATTAGACATTTACTAATAATTTTTTAGTTTTGTTCAAATGTAAGTCACTGTACCATACACCCACACAGTCCATTCAGACTAGAAATTACTGATGTTACCGAGAATATGGAGAGAGTCTTTTCAGCTTTATTTCCCAAGATCTATTAAAAATCACACAGCTGGGAAAATAGTCTAAACTTCGAATAAATGAGATATTCACTGTAAGTAAATGTTCCTCTAAGTAAGTTTTAGGAGTTCCAGTTGACCATTTTCACTGACCTCTCAATGTCAGATTGTTAAAAAGTCTTTGTAGTCATATAAAAAGTTGGGATTTCGGAAGAATGAATGTATATCATGAAGTAAATATCACTAAGAACAGTGATTGCGCTCAAATTAAAATTGATAATTACAACAGAAGCTTGAAAATATTCTAGCTGATATAAATTAGTCGTTCTGTTTTAAAGTAGATCCCATGAACCTAATGATCTTTGTGAAAACTTCTTGATTTGACCTTAACTGCATTCATATTCACTTATAAAAGTTTATCTTTGTTAGTTAACTCGAAGAAAACTAGTGTTCATTGCAGTGATACTTGGTTTCGCTTCCTAAATGTAAAATTAGTCAAGTTATTTGATGGCCAGCTAACATAACAGGTGACTACTTAACATTCGTCCCTAATGATACATCGCAGATCCAAAGAACGTTTATCTGTGACCATGTTTTTTAAGTGGTAATTATAAGTGTTTCCTGTTCGTTTGACTCACCCTTCTGTGACTGATGGTACGCTAGCCTTATATGCCTTTCTCTAGATGAAAATTTTGGAAAGTTCGCAGTTAGGAGGTTTGACATATTTTACAACGAGTCCATTCACCTAGTGAAGGTGAACTGCTCATGAATATTTTGCCAGTTCCTCTCTTTCCTTCATAATTTGTGTATTATACTAATACACTGTGAGTCATCCTAATATTTGTTTTCGGTCAAAAATTCACAATTAACATCAAAACTCGATTGACTGCTCAAATGTAGTACGGTTTAGTTAGAAAAATCTTCACGTCTCGTTTGAGACTTGGATTCTGTCTTATGCTAGATGAGCCAAGATCGGCTTCTTTGAATGTCTAATAATAAAAAATATCTGTGTTACGAAATGAAACGTATGAAAGAGGTACTTCGGCCCAATATTTACTTCGCATTCGTTTTCTCGAAAATATGTGAAGAGTAAGACGAAAAATGCTTTTATTTGTGCAATTTCAAAATAAGTACATTAGTAGTAATAATAAAAATGTAGAAACTACTAGGAAAAGTTTCAAAAACATGACGTTTCCTGATACACATTCACAGGAATTTAAGAATTTCTGTTGTTCAGAGGGTTGCAGTGGTATTCATACCCATGAACTCACCTAGAGAACAAGCACTATCGCCTATGGTATCCAACTAATCCTACTATAAAGATTATTTGGTCTGCCGAATTTCTCGCAATTATTTTGAGGTCAAAAACATAGATCAAAATAGGTTACCGAAGTTTGTTAGCTTGGTAAAACATAACGAATTAGCGAAATGTAGAATGGGTGACCCTAAAAAGATTTTTAAAATTCTGGAACGGGACTCAGCTATCAACACATATGGTGTCGCATCATACTGTGCAAAGAGATGGGGAAGAATGAAGATTTAACATAATGACCACTTAAGACTGATTAGGTGGGGGGGGGGGTTGATTACTGAAACTTGTTTCTCGAACAAATAAATGACTCGTACAATAGAAGTAATTCACCACAAATTCCAAATGAATGGAAAAATTTACTGCCAGTGAAATCAAAAACTGAAAAATCATAAAAGTATATTCATTACTATTGTTAAACTGAACCTCAGTGATCAACCTAGCTTTGCTGCAGTGTGAATTTCCTGGTATTTCTTGAAGATTCATTATGGCGTAATTTGTTTCCTTGTGGCTTGGAGTGTAATCCAAGATATGCGTTATGTCATTTTAGGGACTTTTTTCCGGATTCATCTTCATTCTAGTGAGTGATGGTTTTCTCACTAAGATTTTCATCCAACATATATTGCTTCACTGGTCAAAGTGTTATTTACTAGGGTTTTAAGTCATGACAGCAATATTTTGTGCAATAGGTATCAACAGACATTCTTCTATATTTAGATTTCCCATGGGTTTTTTACTGCATCCATTTCATTGATCACTATTGTCCTACGGCATCCGTGAAGATTTCTCAGTTTTTTTTTGAACACTTACCTCGAGTCACATTAACAGCGGCTAAATTATTACTCTTTGGAGATAAAAACCGATATCCTTTAAATAATGGGCTGTTCTTACGATTTATTTGCTTAGTGGATGTCACTCCAGTCTTTAGAGCAATAAATGTTGGGCCCAAGTTTCAGTGAGAACATCACATATTGGGATGTAGTTACATCCAGAAATTGAGTCACTTTTGATAAATTTCACATGTGCCGAACTACATTTCAAGCCATCATTCGGTACATCATAAAATTATACCATGAGACTAAGTTAGAATGGTGCTTGGTTGTGAGCAATAAATTGTACTCAAAACCTGGTCAAAAAAACAATGTTGTGTCACTATGTGATATGAATAAAAAAATGAAATAAAATGTGACGAAAATTAACAGAATTGCTTAGATTTAACCTTTTATATCAATGAAATGTTCAGCTTACAACAGAAGAGATGACTCTGTTTAAGGATTCCACGTATGGCTTTTGGTTAAACTGTGGAAGAAAACCCTTTTGAAGTATCTTTTAAATGTTATCATAAATGTGTCATTATAAGAAGTCAGAATTTGAATGAATTTCATAAGAGGTGAATTTTATGAATTAGCGGTCTGTCGTTTCCTACGCAAGTGGTAAAGTGTTTCTGAGTAATAACTACTAAATTTACTCTTTAGTGTAATGATGAGCTGATTACGTGAAAATGAGTTTTCTATGAAACAGTCTACAAAGTGACAAAATGTTTGGGTATTATGATGAGATAAAGCACCAAGTAGGAAAAAAAAATTTAGAAGGCTAATACAAGTTTGATGCAGTATCAATGGAATGATTATGAAAACTAGATTTCAACTAAATATAACTTTATTATAGTTCTTATGCATTTCCCTAAAAAAAGTAGTCTATTTCACCTACCCATCTAACTAGGCAGCATCGTTTCAACTAAAGGCGGCGACACAGATGAGGATGTCAAAGCCAAGGTCGGAAAAGCAAGATAGACCTTCACTAACCTGAAATCACTGTAGAGATCTACTGGACTCAGCACAAATAACAATATCCTTATTTTTAACACCAATGTCAAGTCAGCGCTTCTATATGGTTGAGAAACGTGGCGCGTCATGAAAGGCACTTCCAACAAACTACAGATATCCATCAACAGCTGCCACTTACGCTCACTCGATACTGAAACTGAAGATCAGATGGCCAGAATAATAAGAATAAGCAGCAAGGAAGTCTGGGAACGAACCAACCAAGAACCCATCGCCCAACAAATATGCAGAAAAAGGAAGTTGAGATAGCTTGGGCATACACTGAGAGGGATGAGTGGGGACATCACGCATCAGGCCAGGCCCTCCAGGGAAACCCAGATAGGAAACGACGAGTTGGGCGTCCGAGGCAAGGGTGACATGGAGATCATGTGGGGAAGAAATGAAAGCTTGAGAGCAGTCGTGGTGCCAGGTCCAAAAGACTGCAAATAAGAGAGTGCAATGGAAACGTGCTACTGAAGCCCAGTGTCCCACTAGGAACCCAAGGGAAAAATAATAATAATAAATATGTATTTCCATTTCAACTTTGGTACTCAAAAATGAATCTAGTTTAGATATTGTCTTGGTTAATTAAGTTTGGTACTAATATTCTAACCAAAACCAGAATGTAATCCTCTGTATGTTTCAGTCATTTATTACGAAATCACCTGACTATTTCAAAACATTCACAGAAAATCACACTTAGACTTTTAGATCTGACTTGTATATGTATCAATATTTGCTACCAAATCTTAATAAATTCTTTCCCAAATATGCGCTCCCGATTAAATTTGTGAGTAAAGTTTCCAATCCTTCCTCATTCTTATCCTGTGAACGTAAAAATGTTACTTTATAGCCTAGGTGAGTTATTTTACATCTCAGTGTTTATGTAAATGCTTACGGTTGATCTATGGATAGTAATTTTCAGTAACATTTTAGTGAAGCTTCAAATCAAAACCTTTGAATTTTCGTAAATAGTAATCATCAAAGACTAACCGAGCGAAGAAATATATTTCTTTTCAATTAGGTCATCATCTTTGGCTTTACACTAATGTATAGGTTTTTGCAGTTCAATCAAAACACCAATCAAGTGGTGAGCGGTTGATTAACAGTACTTATAGATTTTAAGTAACTCAGAAAGGTGGTAGTTTGAGGAATCAAAATGCAAATAATCATTAGATTAATCACACAAGACTAAAGTAGCAACTATAGAAATGTGAAACAGGTTATTCTTAGGCAAACTGCATAATACCTGGTTAAGTAGTTGCAGTGCTTTTTCTAAAGTGGCATATTATACGCGATAAATGGTTACATAAAAATAAGAAAGCAGACGAATATTGGTAGAACAAGAAGGGTCTGCAAATAATACTACAAGTTACATTATGTTGACGTAATTCGAGTGGTATAAGAAGTTCCTTTTTGATACAAATGTTAGCTTCGTGAAGGTGGATTAGAATCACCTCTTCTGAGTAAAGTAAGCGAATTATCAGTCTGTGTGGTAAATTAATTAGTATGTAATGAATGGTTTTAAATGCTTTCCTAGTATCCACTTGATGTCCAGTGTCAACTAAGTGTTTAAGCATACAGATGATTACTATTCTAATCTGTCCTTTATCAAATTATGACAGGTGATGCACCGAAATTTGATGACAGACCTGCCTCAGTGTGCGCCTAATTGAAAAGCGACATATTTCTTCGCTCAATCTTTTTTAAATGTCTAAATGGGAGTTAATGAAGGAATAAACAGAATGAGTTAGCCAGCAAATTGTAGGTAGATAGACAAAACAATGCAGAAACAAGGTGATCCTCCCTATTTTAAGCAAGACAAAAACAGTAACTACAAAACTTTCCTATCACGCTTGTTAGCAAACCAAAATTAAATTTTCAAAACTCAGGAAATTAATGTTTACAGCATCTTTTGCGATGCCAAATTAAAGTTATTTTTCATAAAGTGTTATTACGAAAAAAGGATGATAGTTTTAGACCTTAACGTTCCTTTCAGAATGATTTGCCAATGCGAAGACTTATTTTTATCATGTTGATATGAGAAATTGCTAGACAGAACTACGCCATTCATCATTCAGACCTTACTTTGGGACATCAGTTGAGGCTGTTGTATCAACAGGGGCCCTTCACACATATTATTTTACTGAAAATAAATGACCAGGTTTAAAAGCTGAAAACTTATTGAAATGGTTTATAATAAGTTTGATAAGGTAACCGGCATCTAAAGCCTTCTTTGCTGATTCTCACTTAACACTATAAATTAATTTTACTGTTTTCCTTCAGGGACATATAGTTATCTTTAGAAAAGAAATGTATGCAGCTGCCGCAGATGCAATTGGACGACCAGGTGGACTTGCTGTACTTGGAGTATTGCACAAAATTGTCGACTCTGCGAAATTCGAAGAAACAATATTTAGTGTATACCAAAACTTTTCTGGTAAACTTACACCAGATTTGGCACCAGCAAATTCTCAACAGATTGATGAATTTGATCTATCAAAAGTGACAACATTTCTAAACCCCAGTCGGTATTTTCGTTATTTGGGTTCATTGACAACTCCACCATGTACAGAGAATGTCGTTTGGACAGTATTTACCGACCCAGTTCCAGTGACGCGTAAACAAGTAAGATTTGACATGCATTTTTAAAATCTAATAAAATCATTTTACCTCTTTCTTCTGTGTTAAAATCATAACGCTTGTCAACTTTTAAGTAAACCTCTACCATATTGGAAACAGTTGCCTGTAAAATAGTTTAGGACGGTAGAAATGCAAGGCTTTCTAATGAGTGATTTTATCAGATACAATTCATAATTCCCTTTTTGAAATCACAAATATCTTTGATGCTTCATCCCTCTAGAATAATTCAATTCTCGGTAAAGGATAGATTTATATTCGGTCGCCGTTACCGCACAGAACTCGTGCAGGACAAACAATATCAGTGGCATAATTAGGGATCTAACTTAATAATTTTTCTATTCAAATAAATTGAACACTTTTCGGAAAACAAATTTTGAATATGGTGACAACCAATTTTATATGACCTTGGTGTTTCAGAATCCGCAAGTGTAGCTGAATCTAGATTGACGGAATTAATTGACAAGAATTGATTAGACTTTAATTTTTTTTTATTACATACAATGAGATTTTCTAAATTATTGGCTTGTGAAACTTGGTTAGCACAGTAAATTAACTTTGGACTGAAAGTGGCATGATCACATTGACGGTATTCAAAGAAATTGGAGAACGACTTGGATAGTGAAACAGCTGGCATAAGTGAAGCGCAGATATCTTAAATTATCTGAACGAAATAACATCGAGATGATTTCCACGACCATTTTTGAAGGAAAGGTGACATTCTTGGAAATGCAATCAAATTAAATTTTGTTTGCCATTAATATAGTTGCACTACTTCTATAGATGCTGACAAAATAAAGTTAGCATTAAATTCCCAGTAATGTTTGCTACGTTATTCAGCAATTCAGGTTATGCATGCAAAATAAATGAAATAATTACTACAGTATAACTACGCTATTTTTAATTTGTGGCACTAATTAAAATCATCTAAAATCAATCAGGTTTTGCAAGTTTGATTCCAGGTAGTGAACCAGGAATTCCTTCCATCTTAACTTCTAAGATAACTCGCAACTGGAAAATGAAATGCTAGTGATATGTAACATAATAAAGTGTAATTTATGCTAATGGGATCTTATAAAGAAAACTATTGAACATATGGGTGATTGGAAGTTCGTATGTATTAATGGGAAACACAATGTTAGAGCATATCAATGGTGATAGCCATGGATCTTAATAGACTGAAGCCTGTGTCTTCTATACTTGAATTAAACAATATTCTTGGTGTTTTCAGTTACAGTGAAGTGACTCTTTTGCTGCTGTACTTACTTAACCGTATAATTGCATTTCTATACAATCTTTCTATGAGAATGAATATTTTTTTATATGAAAAATATTAGATAAGCACAGCAACATGTAAGGTAATACATAAAAAATCGAAGTATCATTTTTATGCCATTGTAACCAAAATGTTTAGGATTGTTGGAATGTAATCAAAAGGCATACGTATAACTAAAATTAAATTGTCCTGATCAAAAAATACAGAGTTATTTAAATTAGTATTGCTCGAAATGTCTTTGACATGTGGTAAAAATGATTAATTTTGAATAGTAAGTCGAGTAACATGGCAAAATATATAATAAATGACTTGTGGTGAAGGTGAGTGAGTATATTTAAAAAGAAAAGTTGATAATGCTTAAAAAATGAGTAAAATGAAAGAGTTAGGAGGGTTAGTGATTTAAAACGAGAAAGGAGCAAGAATTGAATAAATCCGTTTTGCATGACAAGTCACAAACCTCCTATTTGAATTGCTGAAACTTTATTGGCGTAGAAAAAGTGGATGACAAGTGAATTTGGTAGGTTCCTTTCCACTCTGCACTTCTTTTAGACTGAATAACTAGTGTCTCGACTGTGTACCTTTTTCGCACTTCTTATAGATCTGATGCTACCTATTCGTGGCCACCCAGAGGAGTGTTCTTGAAGCTTTTCTGGACAGGATCTGCGTCAAAAAACCGACATACTCAGTTTTGCAGTATCAGGTGAACTGATGTGCATACATGGAAGTGACCGAATACAAGATCATATCTCCCAACGTATTGCTAATTAGTAGGTAGTTCAGAGTTACTGAAAACAACTTTCTTTTAAGAAAGCGTGAAATCCTTCCCTTTAGAATGTCAACATTTAGATCATGGCAGCCTAATTCTGCTCGACACTATGCCTTAAGATTGCAGTCACAAACATTCTATAATGGCATGAAAATAGCACTTCGATTTTTATCTTGCATGTCGCTAGGCGTAACTAACTGTTTTCATAAACAAAACATTTTGGAAATTCTCATCAAAAATTTGTATTAAAATATAATTGTACATTTTAGTGGATGAAGTTGCCGAAAAGCGATAGTCCAGTGAAACACTTGTTTAGATTTTTTATGTCTTAATAAGGGCCCTACAAGTACTGTCAGTTTTGTTTTAAATATTATACTTGCTGTGCCCAACTGTTATGCTTAGATTGAGAAGCGTGAAAGAGAACATTTTAGTTGTTATGATAACTACCGTGTGAACACCTTGCTGCTGTGTTCGCATAAAATGACCAAAAGCTTTTCAGCTAATATAACTTTGCATAGAATACCAAAGAAACGTTGAGTAATACTCTAAGTGATTTCTAATGAGGATTCATGTTAAACATTTGATCATGAACGCGAGCAGACAGTAAAAACTTAAGCACATAAACCGCCTTCCGATTAAATCTGATCGGTATTTTTTTATAATTCTACAGTTCAGTTTTTCGTAGACCGTCCTCTTCTTGCTACATAGTTCATGTCTTGGAGTAGATAAAATAGCTGATATGACTTCGTATCTGCTGTTGGAGTTTCGACCATGACGGCATACTTCGATTGAAGAAAAACACGAAAATATTTTACAGCTACGAATTAGAATCATTATACATACCACTTTGTGCTAAGCAGATTTCTTAAGTTGATGGTCAATTAGAATAATTCAAGAGATTCTTTCTTAAAGTTAACTTAAGTTCCTTCTAGATTTTTTTCACCCTTATTTTATGCGCTGGATGAGTTCAGTAATGTTGCTTGTTCACAACTACCAAACTATCTTGCAACATTTCTAAACAGTTGTGATGGAAAAAGTGTTATAGATTCATGTCACTCTCTCCTTCTCCTATGTCGCCTTATCTCCAGTTCTGTTGTCAAAGAAGTATTTGTCCTTTTTGTGAATATGTTACTTTTCTGGAACATTGGGGTTTTGATACATGAGTGTTGTGAAAACTACAAAACGATATCGATAGTCAGTTTAAAAAAGGTTAATATACAAAGCAAAAACGTTTTGTAGAATACCCCCAATAAAAATCCTTAAACATTATTGTCTGAGATGACTTCATGCGTTATTAATCACTTTTCTAAGTAATAAATTGAGTTACAAGTGAATTGTTGGAAAACATTATTGAGAAGGATTACATATGCTGTAAATTCTTTTACAGATATTCTTAAGTATGCGTATTCATCACAGATTACCATAAACCTTAAGCTGCAAAACTGTCTTAGTTGCTTTAGATTTCAGTACTAATTTTCAGTCTCCAGGCAACACAATAAAAGCATTTATTTCAGAATAATTTTGGTAATTCACTCCAATATTATTGTTAGGCTTCTTCTATAATTTGACGCATGCCACGAATGCACCAGATATGAGATCTTATTTCTTTTTTAAGCAGTGTATATTGTGTTATGTCAAAGATATTGAAACTATATTCTACATCTTCACTTCGTTTAACCACGTGAATGGAAGTGAAGTGTTTATAATACACTCGATTTCTAAATTTATCTAGGGCCAGTGTATAGTTTCGTACTGTTGTCAAGAAGTTGGGGGCTATGGAGCCTAGTGACTTTCATATAGGTCCAAACTATTTTGTGATGATAAAATTCAACAAATGATAAGCAGTTCATGTGCTTTTTGCCAATCGAGTGCTACAAAAGAACAATAACCCAAATTGCAAACAATTCACAAGTATTAATGTATCCATGTATTCGAAGAGGTACAGATCAGTACATTAAAAAACCTGCAGAAAAACTCGACTTTTAAAAAGCATGTTATATTTTATTTGTTATATATTGTTCGATACAGAAGTGAAAAACAGACTAGTCGAGTACCTGAATGAAAAACTAGGGAAATGATATTAGTGTTACTGAAAGTGAAAATGATTTCCAAATAACCGGTTATAATATCCACTGAAACAGCTATGTATTAGCATGGGTTTAAAAGTACCAACTACCTTAACCTACGTACAAACGCATTTTGCTTGATTGCCATTGAAACCGTTATACTTTCTGTAGGCATAGATTGGAAGTCAGTGAATTCTTATCCCGTTGTCAAAAGACTGAAAAATGTGAATCATCTACATCGTTTTTGAACTGAATTCCCAACTTTCATTTAGAAATGGTATATTTGCACAAAGATGCAGAATTTTGACGATTTTACATGTTTTTTCTACTTTCTGAACTATACTTCCTCATCTAATAATACATCAGAAAATGGTATGGTGTAAATTAAGGTAAGTGCCTTCAAACTCGTAACTTTATTTCGTCAAACACTCAAGCGAAAACAATAAATGCTATTATCTCCTTACTTTGCTAAACACTTTCCTTGCATTACATACACGCCGTTTTTGTTTAACTTCAGTTAACAACGTTTTTGTCATCTGGTTTCAGCTGGATCAATTCCGCAGTTTACCCTTTCCAGTAAATGAGATGCACAACAATATGTACGATAATTTTCGACCTGTACAACCATTAAATCCTGAAGGTCAACTTGTACCACGCGTTGTTTATCGGGCAGCAGCATCAAGTATTCCATTACAATCATTATCAACAATTTTGTCTATCAGTGTGATTAGTCAGTTGGCTTTGAGACTTCATTAAACTTGATTCCATGATTTTTGTGGGATTTACGAGTAATATGTAAATCAAAAATAAACACTGTTGAAAATGTGCATCAACAACACTTATGTCTTTCACTTTATTTATATAGAAATAAAACTTTCTCAGCTCTCACTAACTCTGTTCATAAATTTATTTAGTATAGTGGTCCCTACAAATCCCCATGATCAAAGGGAAATGAATATTTGAAAGATTTGATCTACCTAAAGTGTTATTTGTTCAAAATACTTTAGGCATTTCACATGTTTCAAATACGTATTTCTCTTTGGTCGTTATGATTTGTAGGGACCACTTTATTATTATTATATTATTATTAGTCCCTTGGGTTCCTAGTGGAACATAGGGCTTGAGTAGCACGCCTCCAGTGACCTCTGTTCTCTGAGATCTTTTGAACCTGGTTCCACGACAGCCCACAAGCTCTCATTTCCTGCTCGCACGACCTCCTCCATGTCACCCTTGGACGTCCAACTCGTCGCTTCCCATGGAATCCCCATGGGAAGCGACGAGTTGGACCACTTTACTGAACAAATTTATGCGCAGGGTTAGTGAGAGCTGAGAAAGTTTTATTTCTATATAAATAAAGTGAAAGACATGTGTTGTTGATTCATATTTTCAAAAGTGTTTATTTTTGCTCTACATATTACTCGTAAATTACATACTATTTTCCACCACAATTTTGGCAATAAAAGCTTGTAATTGAAATTATTGTAATGCATATACTTATAAAATTGAAATACATAGTGATTTAAACCAACTGTATTCTCATCAGTTCTCCATAAACCGAAACTTTAAATACTTGAGTGCTTAGTGGCACACCTTGAAACGAAATTTCTTATATCTTGATGGGAAATTGCTGCCTACAAGATCAACCAGCACAAATGCTTACTATCAATATTGGACAGTGTTAGTACTGCATTGTGAGTCAGTGGAGAAACAAAAATGTAGATTCATTGAATTCCAACCCAGTGTCTGAATGTGAACATACTCGTCATCGAAACTGACTGTTTGTGGTTTCACTCATCGTGGTTTCCACATTCGGGATTCCTGAAAACGAAACGAAACAATTATCTGGTTGCCCGAAGTTTTTCAGTGGTTCTCCAAATGATGTCATTACGGGATGAAAACTACCTCGAAATGTTTCGAAAGTGTTTGAAGACTGAAAGTAAAGAAAATAATGAATAAAATAAAGCGGATGTAATTGATTGTTTAAGGTAACTGGCACGCGAGCAAAGCTCATCGAAAGCAAACAGAGTTAACAATATGCTATTCACTCGTGAAAGGAATATTACTGATTTCATCAGACACGCCTCACCTTATTCAACCACTACACGGGTTTCAAACTAAGAAGATTTATAGTTGAATTATTTAAGAGGGTGTTAATGATAGCACAGTACTTATCATCTTCAGACTCTTTGAATAAACAGACTAGAGTCAGCCTTCCTACATAAATCCAAGAAAGTATTAAAATAGTCTTTAAAAATAGCTAAGTAAGACTGTAGGTTCGCTAGACATCTATGATCGGGAAATAACGCCTACATAATTACGAGAAATTGCTCCCTAAAACTAAACTAACAATTGATTATCATCTTTAAGTGTTCCACTAATTATAGTGCTTGAAAATGAAGAGTTTATATCTCTTTTTAAAGCGTTTCGATAGTGGTTGATTTAAGACAACTCTGACTAAGTAGACTGTAACGAAGTCACTAAAAGGAAAAATTTTACGTTCATTCTCTGTAAACCTCAAAATTGTGTTCATTTTTGTTTTTGAAAAATGAACTAAATATTATAGATGATGTTGTCCAGTTACTAACATAAAAATCAGCTTTCACGATGGAATCTGATTACTGCTCTTTCCTGAATCAAGCTTGGCTAATTATTTAAGGGAATGTGAAAGGTATTGCCTAGTTACCTTATATGGGTAGGATAATAGTGTGATATTCAGTATGGTAACATTTTATCATATTGGTTAAAGAAGAGAGTAATACTTCCTCGGGTACTATCTATCAGAAGAATAAGAAGGATTTCTCGGGAGAAAACAACTAGTTTGAATAAAATCTGTATAGAAGATCAATAACGAGGTTATGAATTATCATTGATGCAAGTGTAAGTAAACCACATATCTTTCTGTTTATAATATTACTGAAACATATCACTTTTCGTCTACTGCTTTTTATATAAGCCTGTTCTCCTGATAACTTAGATGTGAATACATTTTGAGATGGAGATATTAAAGGCTGATAAAATGCTCAACAATCGGACATCATAACATACTCTTCGGTATGTAGGATTACCTTATCAATAAGGTTCTATTAGTTATACGTATCATGAAGCAGACTTAGAGATTACCTTTTTCAGCAACTGAAGAGTTAAGTTTATATAACATAACAGCATAACAACTTATTTTCGATACGTTTAAACACTGAATTTGCAGTAATATAAGTTCACTTTCAAGCGAAAGGTAAATCATCATTTGATTAGTATTTATACTAGGTGATGAATGAAGGTGATGTGGAAATTTAGACCTCGGCCGGATTCAAACCAGCGACTATCAGGTTCCCGGCCCGGTGCTCTACCATATCTAAAGAAGCTAAGAAAAATTCTTAGTGATGGAAGTGGAATAAAAATCTGGTCAGCAGTCAGACCTCGCAGGTCAGTTTAGAAGCAAATGGCTCATAAAAGGCAATTATTACATAAATTAACTAAGTGCTTCACTAATAAGTTATGGATAGGAAAAATATATATGAGTAGCATTCAATTAATTGTCGCCAATTAATTGAATACTTTCATTCGCTAATTACTACGCCTAGATATTATGATTTTGAAAAAAATATTCATTTTAGTCAAAGCTGATTCTAAGTGGGAGTATATATATGAGTTTACATCAATTCATATACTGCTTATGGAAAAGGTCACGTTTTTAAAAAGTCACGAATAAGCATCCTGTTCTGTTTATCAGATATGTAACATCACAGTTTAACGCCTATTTTTAAGACAGAAGATCTCATTCCCAACCTACTACTTCTAGTATTCACTTAACTTCCATTTACTTGTTGAATAACAGTTAACTGATTTAAGTGTAGCACAATTTAGGAGAAATTTAGTTATAGTAATGCCAAAGTAGGAATAAAAGCGTTCACTCTCTGCTAGTTCTATACTGTAATTCTTGGTGTTCAATGATATACTTGCTATGAAATTTCATCCTTCAGTGACAATCCAGATGTATCGTCTACCTGCATTTTTATGGGTAACGAAAATCAAAGGAAGCGAATTAATCAGAGAATGGTTTCTGAACTAATGTCAGACGAGAAAAAATGTTCTGAAGGAATTTAGTGCTATACGTAGCACTTGATTACATGAATTAAAAAGACTCAAGTGATAACTTAGGCTAAGATGGAAAGGAATAGGCTAAGTTATGAAATACTAGTACACTTAGAATTTAATTGAATCAAGATTTAACTCATTGGTTAATAGAACGGTCTTATTTTCCTTTCTAAACACCACCGTAACATATTACTAAGAATGATATGAAAGATACTTTATGCTATCAGTGCAAAGATCGATAGTATTACAATCTGTAGTCTACGTATCACTCTCAAGAATACTTCTTATACGCTAAAATCGGAGGGCTAGTAATTTAAAGAAACTAATATTAGTTGACTAACAACTGTTAGTTTAACCCCTATGAACGCTGAATGAAGTGCTGCTTGTTTCAACTTTCAAGACTAGTTGTCAGAGTTTATTAAACAATCAAGAATAGCAGCAAGTGATAACTTCTTCATTCTTAATCAAATGACCTTGTGTGATTATAGCATGAAGTTCAGCTATTTTTGTATTTCAGCCTGTAGATGTGCCTAAAAATAAATTGTAACTTCTTCATTTGAGATTAATATTACTACTGAGTAGCTGTAAATGACAAAGTGATATTTTTTCGAAGTACGTACTCGTTTGAACTTTTGTTCTGATTATGCCAGTTAACAGTCAGCTATTTTATTCTACTAAGTTGTTGTATTATTGCCGATTGAAAGTGTGAATTGTTCCCAAGTTTATAAAATTAGTGATCTAACGGTGTAAAGAACTGTTTTATCTATTGTGTCTAACATACAAATAGTTCACAGTGTTTTGTTCGACTTCGAAATCAGTTATACGGCTACTTAAAGACAGTTATTATAGTTGATTTTACCAGTCGCAACAAAACAAATCCTGTTTGAGCATTGATATCAAAATTGTGTGAATTTCATTTCAGTACCTCAACCTATTCACTGAATTTATATGGTGTGTAATAGCTTCATCAAAATTCTCTATGTAACTCCTCTTACAATAGAAGTTGAAAATGAAGGATGAAATAAAATTGATGGAATCCACATATCGAAATGAATTTAAGTATAGATGGCCTAAACTGACTGATTCTCCGATTACATTTTAGTTACAGCTGCTATGGATTTAGAAAGTTGAAGTTTAACAGTCAATTTACGAATAAAAACAAGTTTGCTGTAATTCATTATCATGTATTTAAATGTTACAATCATTCTAAGCCTTCGTAAATGTCTTCATAATAACAATATAGAGGTCTTTAGTCGGTATTGTACCGTGAACTGGATTTTCTTTTCAAATTTGCTGATATTCTTGTCCTATAATTACCAAGTTTTTGAACTTCCTGGCCATGGATATGAATGTCTGTTAAAAACACTATACATTTGACTTAGTATTTTCAGTTGCATATAAATAATTTATCCAACTGCGTTTTGATGATCCCTTCAAGTGACAATTAACCTGAAATATTGAAATACCCAAGCAATTCCATAAATTTTGATTAGCTGAAGAAATATATAGTCTTGTGAGGTTTGATGAAGTATGCATGGTAACAGATACCAGATTTAAAAATGACCAGAGTAAAACAATGTCAGTTTCCAAAACGAATATTTTAACTTTGTGGTCTCTTCCAACAGTAAAATGACGATATAATTAATGTGTTACGATTCATGGAATTAAAGTTAGTTAGTTAGTGACGCATAATGATTAAGTCTTTTGGAAATCAAATTCTTCACTGTCTGAAGCCAAAATGACTTGAGCATTCTAGGTACATCAAAAATTCGTCTAATCACAAGTAGCACATTTTGATTCCTCAGTTGATCGACAAAAGTGACATGGATACTTCTGCAAATAGGAAACAGCAAGAACCTATCACCATTCTGAAAGTGAAATGTTAATGCCCCATCTGAATAACAAGAAAAAGGAACATAATATAACCTTCTGGAACGAGTTGAAATCTGAACTAATATCACGTGTGAAACGTAGGCCATTTTAGGTGTGCAGTTTAAGTACCAGTAACCTTTATTGCATGGTCTAATTATCTTCCCTTTTTCGGTTAAGGTGAATGAATAAAATGGGTAGGGAAATGTAGTTAGCTGATTTCTTTGTCAAAAAATGGTGTTTATCGAGTCATTTAGATTTACATAGTAATTCTTTTACATTATGATTATTTGAGCATAAATTAGATATATGTGATTGAATTGATTTTCAAAATGAGGATTTGTCTGATGAAATTATTTTTGGAAAAGTATTCGCCATCTGATAATTACGAGATCGACAAATTATTTTCAATCAATAGAAATTTTCACTTTGTAATGATGTTGTAAAATATATTAGGTAGTTTGTATGAAGGAGTTTTGAGTGTAGTAGTAGTAGTAGTAGTAGTACGTATGTGATTTATCCAGTCATCTACAACTTAGCAGGAATACTTTACTAGCTGCAGTT